GCTTGAAGCCATCTCGTGAAATTCTCGTTTTAATATTGGGGAAATACGCTCACGCCATGATCTGAAACTTTGCCCACCTTTAGTATGGGCATCCATTATTGGACACTATATGTGAGTTTTAAAATGGGGATCATTTAAAGAAATTAAGCATTGAGGAAGTGCAGAATCCTGCAGGTCGTCTAGTGTCCAGTTGAGGATGACTCCCATTGAAAAAAAACCCGTTCATACAGCAGGAAGTCACATGTTTACAGATTGTTTTAAAAAGCCAAATTGGACTGATTAGCTCATGTCTCTCTCGGCAGACACCGTAAAGGGAGTTCATTTTCGTACAACTCATCCGTTACGATTTGTCAGCTCCAGCTTTTCGCCATGTTAGGTGGACTCAAAGTTAGGTTGAGATATCATTTCCAGCATGGTGACTGCCACCAATGGGCATCCCAAAGCCCCCTGCAGTAAACAATGGGTGACATCACTCAGGCTTTGTCCACTATTATTTAGAGTCTATGGGATCAGCATTACAAGTCAACTTTGACTTGGTCTCTGAGAAATCGGGTGTCACCGGCATCCAGGGTTGAAAATGATTTTCTCTAAACGAAGAGCATGTAGTGTTGTTTGTGAACTTCTTCTTAATAGACCCAACTAAATGAGTAATGCAGTGCTTGTTGAGAGAGTTGACAAAGTGCCAGGTGTGTGTGGGAAAGCAAGGGGACAATGCCAGGTATGACAGCTGGTGCCCGTACTGATTCACAGCCACAAGCACAACCTCATGTTGCTACATTAGCCAAAACAAAACAAAGCCCTCTGCCCCCAAAACACACACAAACAGACACACTGTTTACTTCATCCTTGCTAATATTTGTGACTGTGGTTAAAGCAAATGTCTCAATACAATCAGGGTCCAACACGCTGTATTTTTAAGCAACATAAGCTCTAGTGAAGTTGTGTGCCTTTTGACTAGAGAGGTGTTGTTCTTTTGTATCTGTCAGCTGTATGTGTTTAGATTGTATCTGCCTGTAGCACAGTAGCCCTGAAAGGTTTCTGAGTTGTGTGCATGAATAAAGATGGTATAATGGAGTTAAGGCTAACTATAGCAGCGCTCTCTTTGCTCTACCAATACTTGCCAATAAAGCTTCTAAAGTGCAATAACTTATTCAGATCTCACCACTTAATTTAAGCATTGCTGACGTGTCATTATTTTAGCATAAACTTTGTTGAAGGCAATTTAATTATCACTTACAATCATGAACATCACACCCTCATTGTAATGTACCAGAAGTATCCTTTAGGTTTTTCCAAGACAAGTAAGAAAGATAATAGAAAATATTCTGTAATCCTCCAGAAACCTTCAGTGAATAATGGATTGGTCCAAATATGACATGATTTTCGACAGTGGTGCTGCATATACCATTACAGTGTAAGCTTATATAAGCCCAATGAATGACGCTAGTGTTGTGTTACCATTGTGTATGCTTTTCACTGTACCATCTGGTGACTCGCACTCCTCCGACCCCCTCCATTACTCTCCCACTTTCTTGCTTTGTTTATGTCACTCTGTCACTCTCTCTCTCGCTCTCCTTCCGTCACCAAGAAGCGCTTTGAGAAACGAGCTTGTGACCGTGCAGATGTGAGCATTAGTTGTTTTATCTGTAGATGTTTGGCCCTTTTGTGTCAGCAATACAGCAGCAATTGTTTCTGCTAAACAATGAATGAAATAAAGTGCTGCTGGTGAATCACATTGTAGTAAAATGAGAACAAACAATGTTTAAATCTAGAGGGAAATGGGGGGAAAGTCGGGGAATTACTGGCATTTGCTATGAAACGCTGCCCCAAATAGTCTTGTGTGTATAATAATTTGACAAAACAACAAGCTGTCTAATCTCCTCTAAATTATGTGCGCTAACAGTGCCATTAGGTGCCACAAAGAAATAAATGGACAGCAACTGAAGGGGGCTTTTGCAAAATAACTTAAATCAATGCCCTCATCTGTCCCCCTGCCTGCATGGAGCTCAGGCAGCTTCTACAGTCCTGTTGTTCAGCAAGTTTCATAGCACTCCAGGGCTTCAGAATTACAGCTGCACTTTCATATACATTATTGCAAGATGGGGAAGTTCATCCTTAAAACTGTAAAGTGGTCTGTTTTTAATATTGCTCTCCAGTAGGATAACTATACTCTGGAGTCAGGAGTGTATCTTGCAGCCTTCAGCTCCCCATAATGCTTTGCCAATTTGTCTTCCAAGCAGATATCACTCCCCTATTTCCCTGATATTTCCCTGAGGGGTGAGAAAATTGAATCAAGGATTTCATGCAACTGACCTGCCATCTGCCTTATTGCCTGAGAATGACTCCATATAAAAACTCTTTAAAAAAAAAGTACATAGAAGAAAAATGATCGGCAGAATTATTCTGACAGCATTGTTTGATCTGGCACTGAAAGCCGGGGAAGCGTCCGCCTCTCTTGACCCAACATTGTTCGGTAAGATTGGTATGCACCCTTACATAACAGAGCACCAAATGGCAACAATTAAACAACATCTGCTGCGATGCGATTGAATGCACGGCTCCTTAGATTTCGCGTCCAAGCTCAAACTCATGCTTGTTGTCAGATTTAATATGAGGCAGTTTACGAGCATTCTTTTGAAGGCAAAGGGGAAAAAACTAATAAAAGGGCCATCAAGTTCAAATATAAAGTCTGCATACTTATTTTGGTATGCAGACAAAATAACGTTTCCAGTAAATTTGGGGAATGCAATTCAACACCTTCCAAATGCAACATGTTTCCCAGCCAGAATTGTGTCTGACGGCTCGGAGGACTACAGTCCTGAAAAATTACAAATTCAATGTGTAGAAGGAGAGTCTGAAAATACTTAAAAACGTGTGCCAGTCTTGTTGTCTTATTGGCCTTCCAATGTGTCTGTTTGCAGCAACTATGACCGAATTAGATTTCCTTTCAAACCGGACAAAATGTTGTGTGAACTAGCTCTGTTGGAGCATAACCCAACCCATATCTATTATAAAGGATGTTTTTATGCTAACCATTAAAATGATTAATAACCCCCTTTTTTAGTAACAAGACCCTTTCTCCATTTTGCATGACAATACCCTGTGCACAAAGCCAAATACAGAAGTACAAAAATGTCTGGCTTTGGTTAAGAAGAAGTTTACTCACTAGCTTAAGAGTACAAAGCTTTAAATCCGGTGTTTTCGTGTACAAAACAGAAACAGCTTCGTGTGAATATGTCATGCTATGTTGCTTTTACCTTGCTTAGGGGGTTGGGGTTTGCTGCATGTGTCACATTAAGCCAAGGGAAAGACTAATGGCAAGGATTCTTCATGATGATTGAAGTTCAGTGGGTGGGAGGGGGGGGTTGGGGGGCTGGTACTCATCTTCCCCAGGGGAGACAGAAACACAGAGGGAGTTATTTCAATTAGTGAGATAGTGCCACAACAAAGAGCCCAACCTGCTCCCCACCGCACCTCCAGCCTGGACAGAGACAGCTAATCAAATCAGGACAGGGATGATGCAGTCTGTGGTTTTAAGAGGGAGGGAGCGCACAAGTTGGAAGTACCTTTGACTCGGCTTTAGACAGTACCTGATCAATTCAAATTCCAAGGGATTGGGGATTTGTGGTCTGCAGTTTCCTTTTTTTTTGCTTTTTGAGGATAATGGTCTCTAGGTAGCTTTGTTGTTTGCAAGTCCCTTTCTGATGTCACTTCAAAGCCGTGTACAATCTGGGCCAGAGGGGGTTTTAGCCTGGCTTGACCAGACACACTTCCGAGCCCCTTTTCATGTTTGGCACTTCATTTCTTTCTGTCTGACAAGCTGTGGGAGCAGAGTCTAGGGGCCCCCAAGCACTAATTACAGGTCACCATGTCAACTAAGAGGGGCTCTCCCCACTTTTAAACCTGTGACATCTCAAGGGGGAGAAAGAGGCTTTCCCAGAAACATTAGGGTCCAGTGTATAATTCTTCTTAATAAACACGGTAATGAAAGTGTACATTTAGCCTATTATCAAAGACACATCTGGTGTCTACATATGTCTGTGTGACTTATATAAGGGTTGCAGTTCTTCAGTTTCATCCTCTTGGCTTCCCACGCTCTTTCCATACTAAGTAGGCTGTTTTTTTGGCACATTAGAAGGAAGCAGAAGAAAAATATGACAGTTTTCAAAAGAGGTCTGCTTTCTTGCCTGATTATTTCGGGCCTTGACTTTGTTAATGTTTTAGCCTACACAACATTAAAGCCAGAAGTAGGCCTACTATTAACAATTAAGTGTATGTAATTAAGAAGCCTTCTTCATTCTCTTGATATATTTATGAGAATTTAACAGATTTTTAATTTAATTTAAACTTATTACATTGAGTCTTCTCAAAAAAAGACACTTAGCCTACTTTGCTTTCATACTCATATAACAAACTCATATAAACAGCCATTCGTTTCATGCTTCTATTAGACTACGTGGGAAAATGTAATACACATTACTACTTTTTTTTTTTAATTACATTCCCTGTCAGCAATAATACTTAGAAAAGACCCCCAGCTTCTGGGTGTTGTTGAGAACTTAAAAATAAACTGCCTAACGTCACATTACCTATTTATTCCGATTGCTTGTTTAGTACACACGGTCGATACTATTTCTCCACGCAGACTTCCAAAACTAATGCGACAGAGAGCTCCAGTCCAGCAGAGTCGGGAGGAATGGAATGAGAGGCAGCCGTGGGCGATACCAACTTGGGATTCCATAAGGGGTGTTGCACTACTAGCGTTAAAGCAACTATGGCGATTAAACGGTATAAACGCGCACACGAAAATGAGCAAAAGCACATTAGAGTGTACATTTCTAACGACTTAAATAATATGTTTTTACTTTGAATATATGTATCAATATGACTTCAGAGTCTTACTCTTCATCCCGGTCCGCCCCCCCCCCTTTTTAGGCTTCCTCTAACCGCACATGTATTCCTCTGTACTTGTTTCTGCTCCAGTCGGGACAGAATGTGGCGCCAGCTGAAGGCGGCGGAACAACGACTCTTCCCTGAAACTTACTGAAGTCTTTTCCAAACTGAGGATATTTCATTACCTTCTTGTTTTATCAAAACCTTTCGGATTAACACTTTTTTTTAAAACAGGACTAATTTGTTTTCTCGTCAAAAGGTGGGTTTTTTTTTCATCTTTATCCGTTTACATTTCGTCACTCCAGGGAATCTTAACGGTTACCAACGACTGTGACGTAAATCCTGCAGTTTGAATCGTTTAAATGTCTCCCAGGTGAAGTAGTTTTGTGTAGTTTTATGTTTGTGCCAGGTGTTTCAAAGTATTAAGTTGTGTTGCTTCATCAACAGTGATGCTTGCCAGGGTATTTTAGCCACGAAATATGAGTAACCGGGTCGAGTTTTTTTCCTCTATTAATTGATGCATTTGACCAAATATGAAACAGACACCAGCAAATACAGTAAGTTAATAGCTTTAAAAGATTCCTCCTTTTTAATGGTTTTAAACTTAACCACCTTCCCTATTTTTTATGGTGGCCCAAAACAGACCTAGATACCGTACGAAGAGCAAAAGTTAAAAGTTAGTGCCTCAACTATTCTGTGTTAATATTTTAACATTATTCGAGGAAACGTAACAAAAGGTCCCCTATTGTTATTGTTGTGTAGTTACCATGCCCAACCACGTCCTTCCAACAGTACTCAGAGGATGTACAAAATGTGTAACCTTGGCTAAGCAACCTTGTTAAAGAGCAACACATTCCCCATTTATTTCCTTCTAAACAAACTGGAAAGTCGTCTTCTTAGTATTCAGGAATGCCAACAACTTCCCCCTCTGTTTAATGTTAGACACAAGATAATCAGGCAAAATGAGGCAATGGGAATCATGACGTTTTTTCTAACGAAGTTTAGCTGTGGGACATGTTTGGGCCAACATTGCTCTGTTTCTTAATGCATGTCATTGCAAAGAGTTGAGCATTCCCCTGACGCAAATCGTGACTTAATGTCTTGGGGCTCTTTGGGAGACAGGCTGCTTTGCAAGCTGAACTTTTACCTTGCAGTTAGTTGTTTTGACTACCTTGTCACAAGTCATGTCCTCTTCCAATTAAGAACTCAGCTATGTTGCGTAATTAACACTTTTCCACATCGTATTAAAGGTGCAGATTTAAATCGTTGCATTTTTTTTTTTTAAATGTAAATGCAATTTACAAACCTAATCATGAATGTGCTCTACTGACCCAAGCTCAGTCTGTCAGAGGATCTCCTCCATGGGTTGTTATAACTGGAAACTCATCCAGTACACATGGTAGGTTAATCAGTTGGTTATCTTGTGTGGCCGGTTCCCAAGCACATAGTTTGGGACATGCCAAAAAGGTCTTCGCTCCAGCTGTGTGAAGGAAAATCGATGGGAAACAAACAGATTTTTTTTTTTAGACTGATGCTGTGAATGGGAGAGAGAGAGAGAGATAGAGATGGTGCAGGTGCTGTCTGGACAGGAAGCACACCGTTTGTGTAGGAAGCATAAAGGAAATGTATGAACAAAGATGACTGGTGTGTGTTTGTGTGTCGGTGACTCACTCAGATGAATGTGTTGGAATGTGTGATGGGATGGCCAACTATTGCACAAGGTAACATCCCTCATCCCACTTTACGCTTTATGTGAGTAACAAAATATGTGTTGCCGACTAGTTCTGGAGGTTTTAACCTTTATTTGACTGTTCTGTCATTAAAACCGCATGAAATATGAAATTATGGTATGCTTTAGCAATTGCTGGATTTTTTGTTTTACAGAATTTTTCAGCGATTTTCCTCAGTTTTTAAACTCTGCGTCAAGAGCTCAACTGAATCATTAGCCTTAGGGCTGGCTTTCTTTGATGCTCAAGCTATTCCGTCAATACAAAACGTGTAACACAAAGTACCTGAGCTGAAGAAGGAAGTATTTGCTGCGTTAAGTACATGGGTAACTGGAGATAACCCGTTGTGTGCTTTTACATAATCGTCTCCTTACAATGCAAATTCTCTCAGGGAAGCCTGACATATGCTAGGAGCAAATTTTCAAAGTACTACACAAGCTTCTCTGAAATGATCTCTTCTAGATCCATCACCTTCTGCCTTCAGCCTTGTTGCTATAAGGTGTAAAACATACGATATATTGAGTGTCAAGATTGAGGGTGGTGCAACTCCATGACAGAGGATGACATTACTGTTATTGTCATAAAGAAGAAGAAACTTTATCTCATACTGTCCTTTTGCATCATGGAGCTCAACTGTGTGTGCTGTCAAATGCATGTCTTGGTGTTAGTTATACAGGGGCCCGGGGCTCTCCACTCATCACCCTACGCTATCCAGTCTTTGCTACTGCTTTTGTATTCATACTTGAAATCTTAGGAAGTCTAGCTTTGGAGGAGGTTAGAAAAAGCCAGAAATTGGATGCTATGTGATTGTCAAGATTTAACTTGAATTATTTTTCTGGATTTTATGGCCATTTGAGTACATGCACACCAACAACATGCCTCTTCTGTTACTTCAGGGATGTTGCATGACTCCTCAGATTCATGTCTCAAGTGCACCAAAAGGGACAGACGGAAAAAATAGGTCAGTTCTTCCTGCATTTGTCTCCCTTTCTCCCCTTTCCTTGGATTGTGTTTTTTTTCTCCCCCTCAGCTTACTTTGCCTTCTCGGTGCAGCTCGAGTCCTTTCAAGGAAGTGGACCAAAGAGATTTAACCTGCCAGCATCCCCCCAGAGGATATTATCAGCTTATCTCACACGCTTCTTACAACAGCTCATGGTGCTTCCTGTAGGATATTTAGTTGATTTTGGTGGGGATTGGTAGCAGGTAGATGTGACACTGAGACCTTTAGCTCCTTCAGCTACAGAGGATACTTGAGTTAAACAACAGGTTTTGCAACCTGATTTAATCTGTTATAATCAAATTTCTAAGGGTAATTTAAGATATAGTGCACATTAAGCAGTAGGGCCAACTTGGGCCTATACAGGGCCAATACATACACCTCCTTGATTTATAGTCATTTATAGGCTTTACATACTTTCAGATTTCATTTTTTCTGCAAAGTTTCAGATATCTACAGTTTTGTTTTTTTCAATTTCGCAAAATCCAGCAATTCACTCCAACAGGTAAAATGATAATCCTGAGAAGAAAAGGCATACTAAATTTCAAGTATGACACTTATGGCATCCTTTTTACTCTGTCAAAAAAACAGAATATTGTTGCCGGAAACAAAACAACAGGGCTTGGTTGGGGTTTGCTATAATTGCAGCTCATTCTTTAACCTTCTCTTTTGGAGCTACTTGCACTATTTTGAGCATATGTAATGGTTGGGTTGACGTTCTCGCGGTGTGTTGCACTACGATTGCTAGTTTTGTGAGGTTGCTCATGCTCAGTCCAAGCCTGAATGCTGGGTGGGGAGGGAAGGGAGCGACTGCTGACTCTGTTTTAACTTGTCTGGCAGTGCCGGCAGTTTGAGTTGTGTGTGTGTGTGTGTGTGTGTGTGTGTGCTCTGTTTCTTTGCTAAGAGCCACATGGAAGCCAGATGTTATGAATGTTGAAGTCATTGAACTTAGCTTTTCTTTTCTGTGGACAAATTTACTTCAAGCTTGATGTAAATTTTCTGTTACTGTTGAAAAAGTACTATATTTCGCCTGGTCATTTTTCTTTTTCTGACTGACATTTTATGTGTGCAATGGATGCCATCTTCTGTAGATCTGTGCATTTGCACTTTGTGTGTTTTATGTATTGTCTGTGTTGTATTAAGTGTCTCTCCCAAATCTACCTACAGGTACAAATAAAGTAACCTGAACCTGTATGGCGATATGTATTTCCACCGGTATAAGAATCGTATCGACAGGTTTTGGCCGATACATAACCCTGGCATATTTTACTCTATGCTTCCCAATAGGTTACCTGTTGCTGAGCAGCAGTGTGGATAATGATGGATTGGTTGAGAACAGCATAGTGGAGCAATTCCTACTGTACTAAAAGTGCTGTTCATATATTTGTCAATTTGAACTGTATGGACTGTAAATCATTTCCAAATCTAGCATTGTTATACGTATAGTATGTATAGTCTTGTAACATTTTTCAATTAATCAGATTTCAGAGTGAATGGTTTGCGTTTGTGTAAAAGCATGAAAGTAATTCCTCCTTTTCTTTTATAGAGCTTTTAAATCCTCAGTGGATTATGTTTTGAATCATGCCACCAAGAATCCCATTTGAATCGTGAGATTCCCAAAGATTCCCACCCTTAATTTAACCTTCAGCTGTCCATAAAGCTTTTGACAAGAGTGATTAATGACACATATTACCAAATCACATTTCTTTGCCCCGATGGCTGGTGCCACAAGGATTAAACTTTAATCCAACACACAACTCAACTTGAGCAGCTGAGAAGCTGGTTATTTGGCATTTCACATTTCATAGAAAGTTACCCAAGTCTTTTTTTGTCACTTTCATTTTCATATGTCCATCAAGAATGCAAATAAGTCATCAAGCTTGAAGGTGCTTCATTCTCTTAGTGTGAGAGGAATTCATGGCCAAAGGATGTAATGATGGTTGAAAGTCGAAAGCCAAATGAGGTGAAAAGTCTTCAAAATTCTTGCACAATGAACATTTTCTCTACAGTGAATTCAGATAATGTATGTTAGATATTTTAGCAGCATTTAAATAGTTAGTTGTGGTTGAGCCTGAGGCCACCCACCATCCAATTCCTCGACTGAATTATGCAACAGTGTTATAATACCATGCTGTGTCCAGGCCTGACCTTTAGGGTTAATGAGTGTGACATTTGATGAAGGGAGACATCCAGGCGTTTACTGCTCCAATGTTGGATATGTGTGAGCAAATATACTGATTACTCTTTACTTGAAAGATAATGACACTTCCATGGTTTATGTGTATTTTGGATGATTACCATAATTCATATCCTGCATTTAAATAGCGGGATATTATTCGATAAAATCTGGTTGAGGCTCTCTGATTTTCCGTTTGACTCTGAGCCAGACACAGTTTGTCGTCTCTGTCAGCCAGTGGAAATAGACATCACAAATATCTGCTAGATGATCTTATGGGCAAAGGATCATGGGAATCAGGGTCTTAAATAGTTGTGTGTGTTTTCCCTCTGCCTCTGAGATTAGGTTCTACGGCTAAA